CCTTCAGCACAAGCGCTATAATCTACACAGACAACTCACGTGCTATAGTATCAATATCTAGATCCGCACGGAGAACTCACGTGCTATAGTATCAATATGTGGATCCGCAGGGAGAACTCACGTGTTGCACGGACAACTCACGTGCTATAATAAGCCAATCTGACCTGCTGTGACGTGCAACCCGATCCCATAATTATCCTCACAATCAGACCCTCGGCCTCACTCAGTCATCAATCTCTCCAGTCTCTCGGGCTCACAACGTCATGAAACTAGCCCAAAATCATGATATAATGTATCAATAAATAACAGCAGAGACTGAGATATGATATGCAATGAATGAATATGACTGAGTATGAAATTACAGTTTAAACATATAATTCGACAGTAGAAATGACATCAGTGGGTCCCAATAATACTAACATTTGCCTAAGCATGATTTCTAACATGAGGCATAACTCAGTTTCTCTAACACATAAAAATACATGGAAGAATACAAGTTAATTTGCTAAACAACTCTACGGAATCAACTGAGTCTCAATTTCTATGGTGCACGCCCACACGCCCACACGCCCGTCACCTAGCATGTGTGTCACCTCCAAACAATTCACATAACACGTATAATCAGGGTTCATACCTTCAGCTCCAAGATTAGAGATGTTACTTACCTCGAACAAGCTGAATCCAATGTCGAGCAAGCTAAACAATGCTCCAGAAATTTCATTCTGCGTGTATCAACTTCCGAACGGCTTGAATCTAGCCACAATTAATTCGATTCAGTCAACACAAATTATAGGAATTAATTCCATATCAAAATACTATTTTTTTCCTTAAAAAATCCAAAATTACACTAAAAAAATTGCTCGTGGGGCCCACATCTCGGAACCCAACAAAATTTATAAAATATGAATGTTTATTCAACCATGAGTCCAACCATACCAATTTTACCAAATTCCGACATCAACACGGCCTTCAAATCCTCAAATTAAACTAAGAGGGTTTTCTAAATTTTTCTACTTAATTCACCAATTAAATGTTAAAAATAACCACGGATTCGGGTGATTTGACTAATATTGAGTTAAGAATACTTATCCCGTTGTTTTTCTTAAAAATCTCTTGAAATTCGCCTCTTCCCGAGCTCCAATTAGTCAAAAATGGAAAATGAACAAACACTCTATATTAAATATTATTTTTTGCTCAGTTGTTCTGCCTTATTTTATATATCAAACAATCTCAAAACTCTCTTTTGATACCTCTAATAGATTCTTTATGAAATTTCAGTCAAGTTAGGCTTTTGAATCACCCAATTTGGCCTTAAAATGAGGGAGATATGATGTTTTGAAAATTTAAATGAAATCTGAAAATTTAAGGGATAAATAAAATGACATTTTCGTAATTATTTTACACCAGAAAATCAGCAACGAAAGAATTTTCGTTTTAGCACCCCAAAACTCATTCGGAACCTCCCAGACACAAACCATATATGTATTTCAATTATAAAATATGCTACGAACCTGCTCGCGCACTCAAAACACCGAAAAGAGGTCATCTTGACCCAATATTGACCATGGTCAAACTCCAAATCCTTAATTTAACTAGTTTCTCAACCAGTGATCCAAAACACACCCGAGCCCCTCGGGACCCCATTCAATCATACCAACAAGTCTTAACATATAATTCGAACTTAGTCAAAACCTCAAATCACATCAAATAACGCTAAAACCACGAATCATACCCCAATTCAAGTTCAACGAAATTAAGAAATTCCAACTTCTACATTCGATGCCGAAACCTATCAAATCAAGTTCGATTGACCTCAAAATTTTCATACAAGTTATAAATGACATAACGGACCTATAAAAATTTTCAGAACTGGATAACGACGCCGATATCAAAAAGTCAACTCCACGGTCAAACATCCAAACTTAAATTTCTATTTTAGCTATTTCAAGCTTAATTTAACTATGGACTTTCAAACAATTTTTCGAACACGCATATAAGTCCAAAATTATCATACTGAGCTATTGGAATCATCAAAACTCTGTTCCGAGGTCAAATTTACAAAAGTCAAACTTGGTCAACTCTTCCAACTTAAAGCTTCCTAGTTGAGAATCGTTCTTCCAAATCAATTTTGAATAACCTGAAAACCAAACCGACGATTCACACAAGTCATAATATATCATACATAGCTACTCATGTCCTTAAACTAACGAATGAAGTACAAATGCTCAAAATAACCGGTCAGGTCGTTACGGTTGATCACTTCCATCTTTTGCTAACAAATAATTTCATAGGTTCATTGTATTCATAAATTTCATCGTCAAGATTACCATTCATCTTCTCTCTTATTTTCTCAAAACTATTATTCATTCCATGAACTATAGTTTTATAATCCAATCTTTTAAGCATTAAAACCTGTAACAAATACTTCAAATACTTTTAATTACTCATGATAAACGAGTTTGAAGCATTGGAATTACCTCTAGTAGATCAATCTTGAAAAATCACAACTTTGATGATGAAATCTAGTGTTTGGATGTAAGAATGATGTTAGAACCCATGTATATTGAGTAATAATCAACCCAAAACATCATTAACAACTTACCTTAGTTGATTGGACTTGATTTGAGCTCAAAATCGTCTCTTCACCTCAAGAACCCTAACCCCCAATACACAAAATACTCTCTTCCCCCAATTTTGTATGTATAGGCCGAGATTTCTGGGTTTCGAACGCGGTCCCGGATGACGGACGAAGTTCACTCCTCTTCGAAGCTCGGACACGGACGCGGACGCGGACCCGGATGCTATGGCAGTACTTCACTACCAGCTTTTCTTTCGGACGCGGCCCCGGATGCTTCGCATCCCCAGTTCACTCCTCTACCAGCCTTTGGTAATTTGGTCATAACTTCTTGTAGCAATGTCCAAATGACAAACGGTTTAAAGCGTTAGAAACTAGACTCGATGATCTTTCATTTGAAAGGTTGTCCATCACATAACTACTTTATATATATATATATGCTCATCTAAAGTTAGGTCTTGTGCGTACTCATTTGGAACTTTAGTCTATCATGTAATTTCCAACTTGATTTGTCTGAGGGGCTCTCCTTATGCCCTATATTACCTCAAATATACCTCGTACACTTATTATAATATCCAATTAATATTTATCATATTAATAGTCCTCGTCTGCACACAAAATAATGTAATTAGCACACATCAACTTTCTTAATAGCGCTTAAATATTTTAAAATTTTTTGGGGTGCTACAATTACTTAGCTGTGCAATTACTTGGTTGTGTAATTACTACCCTAGTAATTACACAGTATAGTAATTACAATGACCTGTTTGTTTGCCAGAAGATAATTACAGTATAATTTCCACTTTCATGTTTGGTTGGACAGGTGTAATTACATAGTTAAATAAACTTTTTTCAGATTAATCTATCAAAATATATTAAATAATTATAAATTAATAAATAATATCTTAAAAGTAGTAAATATCTTTAAAATGAATAACATTATTACTTAAATTAATAAATCAAAATTAAAATCAAAATTTAATTTTTTACTACCTCATTAATGTGTGATAAATACATGTATATATAAGAAATGCTAGATATTATTTATAATCAGGTATTTAAAAGTGTATTTTTTTTAAAATTAAAATATTAAATTATTAAATAATATCGTAAAGAATTATGTATATCTTGACTATCTTCAAGTAAATAATATCTTAACTTAAAATAATTGAAAAAAGTTTTAATTATGAATTTAAAATTTTTACCAACTCATATGGTAAAATATAAAATTTATGATTTGTTGTATTTTTTAAATAATAACAAGAAAAATATGACTTCAGATTAATAATCATACTATAATAATAAATAGAAAATAAAGCTAATAATATAAGAAATTGCGTTTAACAATAAAGAAACAAAAGAATAATAAAAAAGAAGCAAATTATGAGAAGTTGTAAAACTATATGGAAGCATACCATAATCAACATGTTACAAGGTTAAAAATGAGAATAAGAGAAATAAAAAAAATATTATAAAAATAGTACTTAATATATTTAAAAAAGAAAAATAAAAAAATTAGAAAAGTTACATTACCTTGTAATTACAGAGTGTAATTACCACCAATTCTCAACTTCCCCTTGAGAACTGAAGAGTACCTCTTAATTACATCTAATTTCATGCTCACCAAGTAATTATTTGGCCAGACAAACATGTTAAACTGTGTAATTACACCCAATTATACCCAAATCCAACTCCAACTCCAACTCCAAGATGGCTTCCTAGCTGTGAATATCCCCAATTATATTAACTTATCTTTTAAATGAGCTAATAGGGTTTCAAGTTAAAACTGATTTAGTATTACTAGTTCCATATCTTAGCCCCGTTTGGTCATAGAGTTTGCCAAGTTTTTTTCAAAAAATATTTGGCAAAACATGTTTGTTTGTAGATTTTATCTATGTTTTGTCAAATTTTGAAAATAAAATTTCCAAATACCAAAACCAACTCTAGACCTGTTTTTGGCTCAAAATATCACTATTAATTTTTTTAACAATTTCAAAAATTACCCTGAACTTTTGTATTTTATAAAAAATCTTACCATCTATTATGACCAACTAACCACCAGCTAATTACTATCATTTTCTTTTGGACCAATGGATCTTGTAATATCATTGCAATTTGACGAATTATAGTGGCTAGTAATTGTATTATTAGCAGTTGATATTAAAATATCAAGTTATGGTTTTAGGATAGTGTATTAGCAAGTTTGTTTGTCTGGTATTGTTGCATATTGTTAATAGTTTTTATAATTTATGGGTATAAGTCATATTTTTAAAAAAGAAGTAAAATATATTTTGAAAAATTATGTCCAAACAAATTTTTATTTTCAAACTAAACTTCACTCAAATTAAATTTTTAAAACAAATTTGGAAATTAATGGGCAAAATCTTTTAATTAGTTACTTCTCTTTACCTTTCACCTGTTTTCTCTACTTTCAGCTCTGCAAGTAAAGCGGTTGTTTAAAAGGAAAGATTGGAGAAGTGAGAAGACAAGTGGAATAAAGGATGGGATTAAAATGGCGTTTCTCGTTGATGCTGCTGCTCACAACCTCCGTTTACCTTCAATTACCGTACGTCTCAGGTACCATCCCTCTGCTCTTTCTAGCTCGTGCGCAACCATTAAGTCTAGCCCTAGGTGCAAATTGTAAACAAGCCCCTTATTGATGATTTTCTGTAAAATCCTAAATTCACCTTTTATTTAATCTTGTTCAGATTATTTTGTTGAATTAATGTTCTCTACTCTCTAAGAAAACCTGAGATAAATGAATGATTGTGGTAAGTGAATCCTATTCTTTTAGCAATTAGGCAGCTAATTTGCCGATTGAGCTATATTGGGTTGTGATTCATTTGATAATCTAATAAAATTTTGGATATATTTACTTCCGGTTTACAGCGGTGGATCAGTCAGTAAAAGTGTATTAACTGAGTAGAGTGTAGAGTGCGAATGTTTCTCGAAAAGAAGATCTTGACGAGTAGCAAAGTCAGAATTTTCACAAAGAGAATTCAAAATATAAAGAAGTATACACACAAAGAAGCCAAGGGGATTCAATATATGATATATACACAAACGGAATTTGACCTATTTATTTTTTCAGCTAAGGTGTGTTAGTTGACTCCCTTGGGACAAGGGTAACTCCGCCCCTGATCTTGTCGCTCTTATCACTGATTCTCCTTTTCCGCCCTTGAATCACTGATTTACTCTTAACGAGTATTTCGTACTAGGATAAATGTTTCTCTTTTCTTTTCGATAAAGTAAAATATTAAATGCTTCTCTTTTCCTTTCCAAAAGAAACTCCTTTTTCCTTTTCCGTTGTTCATCTTTCTAGTATATTTTATTTTACTAGGGATGCAGATGTTTAGCTGTTCATATTACACCTCTAATAAGTGCCAGGGCGCAAGAACTGAACTTTGGAATATGGGGCTCAAGCTTGGATGAGCCTCCCATAGTGTATCTTGCTCAAATTCAATCTATAGTTTAACTGTGTGAGCTTGATTTGGTTTAGCATGTGCGTATGATAGTCAAATAAAAAGTACATGTCTGAACATTAATTTTCACCTTTGCAAACAAATCAGAATGTTAACATAGTAAATTCTTTTCTCATGTGACATACCATTATAGTGATCTACAAAACCACCAAACTCACAAGATTCAAGCTTTAGATGTCATTCATATTATTATTAGTGACTTAGAAAGAAGTGCCTAGTGTTTGGAAGTGTTTTGTGGTTGTTATTGTGGTCCTAGATCATGTGATATTCATTAATGGCGTTAAAGAAGTCTTGTAGAAACCTGATCAAGGCATCGCATCAAGGGGGAATTTCCCATCATGCTGGGGTCAGATGGGTAATGGTAGTTGTGACAATGTCCTGAGGAGAGGGGTTGCTAATGCATTCTACGAGTTAGAAGTTATATTTTCAGCTAACTGGATTGCTTTTAAGTGAGAATTTACGTGAAATATGAATCACATGTCCTGTTTTTAGGTAAGATGCTTGTTATAAGCATCAATAAAGACAGTGCTTAGCTTTGCAAAGGAAATATTCAAGACCTTTTGTTGGAACGGATGCCAAAAGTATATGTGCATAAGAGATGCCCGCACATCTTGTTTTATGGATAATAAGGATGTTTTTTGGGCAGGAATTTGGGGCTAAACATATCAGCATCACCTAACTTATCTAATACAAGTGCTGCAATTCGGCTGCCCTCAGAAAGAAAGAAGCACTAGTGGGTTATGTAAGTTGCCAGAACCACATTTGGGTTGGGAAAAGGGTGTGGGTGTGCGTGGGCATGAATATGCTCGTTCCTCAAAAGATTGCTATTATCATCTGTAGATCTAGGTATTTGTTTTCTACTGAGCTATCGAAACATCAAAAACTGATTTTTAGCCTCCAAAGTGGTTCTTTATTTTTACTGTGATGATGCTTATAACAGTACTTGCCCAATTCCTTTTCTTAACCTTCTAATTTCCAGTTTACCAAGAGATTTCAACGAAAACTTTTACTACCGGACTAGCCTGAAGAGCAAAGATATCATCACATGTATTTTGTAACTTAATTATAAGAAATTATTATACGTGTGGAAAAGAAAACCACACTATTATGATTCAGTTACTACTCTGAGAGAGTATTATTGAATTTTACAATGGTCAGGCCCTAGGAATACAAATCATCCACAGAATTTTAGACCATAGATTAGAGGAAAAAGTTTAGACTTCTAAACTTTTTCTAACACTGGGTTAGCCACAGATTTTAAGAAATATTAACATAAAGTATCCGCAACTCAATTATTCAATGTATAGTGTACTTTCTTTTACTTTAAAAAATCTTATAAAGTTAGAAGTCACGTGAGAAACTTCACAATTAAAGAAGCAGAGTATTGTCCTTTTCTAATACCAAACGTTAAAATGATCATATAAGAAAAAAATGTCTAGAGCAAAGCCAGAAAGCCAGCTAGCCAGCCTTGAAGAGTATTCAACTACTATTTTTTGTTCTTTTGTGGGTATGTAAATAAAGGAATCTTCCATAAAACAAAAAAAAGAATCAAAAAAGTGTTTTTGGACATTAAAAAAGCTACTAAAACAAAGGTTTTTTCCTTAACAACCTGCCCAGCGTAATCACATAAATGGGATCTGAGGAGATTAGTATATACACGGACTTTATTCCTACCTTGTAAAGATAGAAAGACGGTTAGACTCTCAGCTCATGAAAAGCAAAGTTACAGTAATTTTTGCCTTCTGGGATGTAAAGCTTATGCAAGTTTTCTGTTTGGTATCAATTAGGATTGTGGTGGACTATTAATACTTCTTCATTCTAAAATTAGTGATTTCGAGTTTGAATTTGAAATAATTTATTTGGATCTCAATAGAAATATAAAAAATATATAGGAAAAAACTGCTCATTAAGGACTCTAAGACTCTCAATGAGGATACAAAAGAAAGGACTCTAAGACTCTTGAAGTTACTCCTTTTCTCATCTAGATATGAAGTTACTCATTTCCTCACCCAGATATGAGAACATTCTTTGACAATAAAAGTCAATTGTCGCAGCAACTTCCTTATGAGACTATTAGCTATAATATAGGAGAAAAGCATGCATAATTTGTTAATTCATCTCTGAACTCTTCTATACATTTATGAATTGATGATATAGTTTGTCTAGGCAGCATTTTGTGGCTATGGGCTAGAAGAATATTTGGACCTTGTAGAAAAACTGCTCTGTTAAGTTTCATAGGTGACTCATGTGTAACCCATGCAGGCTTAGCTAGAAATATGCACAATCGAAGAAAAAGATCCATATAGCAATGCCAATTAATTTGAATTAAGTTTAAAAAAATACTTACTTTAAAGCAGATGCTCGCTAGGAGTCTTTTTATCTTTTTAGAGTATTTATGTGTCATAGCAAATATAGAAAGTGTAAGTTATAAAATATGGATTGAGACAGGTCTAAATGGAGCGAGGATGTGAGATGAATAATGCGGATTTGTATAGCGACCCTGGGGTTGGGGTAAGGCTGCGTACATCCTACTCTCCCCAGACCCCACTTGTGGGAATTAACTGGGTGGTTGTTGTTGTTGTTGTTGTTGTTTTTGTTGTATAGCCGACTCCAACTAGCTTGAGATTGAAGCATATTTGTGTGGGGAATAGGGATATCGTCAAAATTTCTGTAGATTCGTGAAAAGATTATAATTTCTTTGATAATGGGGTGCTCAAGGCATTGTTCTCTAACATCTACTTTTCTACTAATGAGTCACCAAATCATTTAAATACAGGAAAAGATAATGGAGTTTGCATTTCACCTGGTGGTCGCTTTCCTCGATTTTCAAATGAAGGAAAACCTCCAAGAAAAGTAAAAAAGGGCCCAAGAGATTTGAACCTCTGCAGGATATTTCGCGGAAAAACTTGCTGTGATGTAACACAGACACATCCTGCTTTGCTATCCATTAGGAGGCTTGCTTCAACTGGAGAGGCAAGCCAAGAGTGCTTGCACTTATGGGAAATGTTAGAATGTTCAATCTGTGATCCACGTGTTGGTGTGCAGGCGGGACCCCCTGTTTTATGCACCTCTTTCTGTAACAAAGTATACCAAGCTTGCTCCAATGCGTACTTCTCCATGGATGCTAAGACACAGGTTTGTTTGAGTTCAGTTTGTTAACAGATTTTTCAGATGAGTTATTCAGCAATGGTGTATCAAAATTCACCAAACAATAAGCTTGCATTGGATGTTATGATTTGTATTTTGGATCGTATAGGCTGTGTCTCAATGAAGATGCTTTTGTCCCCTTTGGTTGACCTCAATGCCAACAACCTCAATTATTTTCTCATCATGTTTGTACTGAATTAATCAGTTATTGACATATCTCACATCTGATTAGAAATTACATGTCAGGTTCTAGCACCCTGTGGTGTAAACGACTTTGTTTGTGGTAGAGCATCCCAATGGATCTCTAATGGGACAGAGCTCTGCCGCGTTGCAGGTTTTTCTGTGAAGTCTTTGTCTGATGATCCAGAGGAAGTTTCTTGCTATGGTGGAAAATCTAGTGTGGATTTTATTGCTGATTCATGGAGGGCCTCACAATCCAAGGTGCAAGAAAAAACGGACAGTTCTGGATTCATTGAAGATTTCAAACAATGGGTGGAGGACATGACATTTAAAGAGAGAATATCTTGGGCAGTAGGAGGCATGGTTCTTACAGCAGGACTTCTATTTACCAGGTGAGGCCACTCTTTTTTAGTAATTATAAAATAAAGAGAATCTTATTTGATGCTTCATGAACTCTCTCTGGTGTGGCATGTAGCCTTAGAATGTTAGTTGTTACTTTCCAAGTTCCAGCTGTACAATCATGTGGAATGATTCTTAGTCCATTAGAGTGATCATCAGTGTATTTGGAAGTTTGATGATGTCTGCATGCTTAATGATATCATACTTCATTACTGTAAATTTACTTTTACTATGCAGTCAAAGGAAAAGCCATAGGCAACGCCAGAAACTAGCAGCCCTCCAACGCACGGCCAGGAGATTGGGAGGAAATGTGAATCCGAGATCTCCTACAAGTCAAGGGAGCGAAAAGGGTAGTTAAAGATGAATATCTCCTTACTTGAGAGGAATTTCATCTTTCTACCGTGTTCCCAGACAAAGTTAGCGACGAGTACAGGTTTACTTGTTATTGCACTTCGAGTGTAAACCAGTGAAGAAAGTTTTTGTGCAACTCTCTTTTTCAGTTTATACAACATATTTTACTTTTAAATTCATTTTATATAGAATGACACACTTTTAAATTAGAAACAATTAACTTTACACTTTTATTTTATCACATAAATATTATCTCATGTATAATACCATGAATTTTAAAAACTTTATAGCTACACAAATGTTATAACATATTTAAGATTACAAATTTTAATTTTTTTTTTCAATTTTTTCTTAAAGTCCTTCAAAATAAAATATCACCGCAATCGTTGGAGTTTGGAAAATATCTTTCTATGCCTGAGAGACCAGGAAACAAAACAAAGAAAATGATAGCAATGATGTAACTTTTGGTGCCTGAATTTTTATCAATTTAGGGGCTCATGAAATAAAAATAGTAACTTAGATCCAAAAAGGGATTCTTTCCTTCTCTTACTGATTAGGTTTTTCTTTCTTCGTCTCCTTGTGGAGCTGAACTTGTAACTATTTAACATACAACTTCAATCTCTTGACATTTGCTAGGCTTGTACTACAACTAATTTGCAAGCACTGATCGACCAAACTCAAATTTAAATGACTGGAAAGAGGAGACGTCTTGTCTATGATGCTCCATTGGGTCATGAACTGCATATTAAGCGCTCCTTTCACTTAACCCATCAACATCATTGGGTGAGCTAAAGTTTGCTGATGGCTCTACTACTACCATTGTTGGGAGTTGTACTATGAAAAAGTAGTTTCAATCAAAATTTCATTGATTGTAGCTAGTGACTGCCCGGATCGGTAGTTGTTCCAGACGCAACTACCATGGTTATTATGCTGCCAATATGTGCAGCAAAAGAGGAAGTGGAGTTGGGAAAGATTATTCATGGTTTAACTGAAAAGCTAGGACTGGCGAACGAGTTAACAGTGAATAATTCTTTAGTGGATATGTATTGCAAATTTGGGTACTTTGCTGATGCCAAAATTCTGTTTGAGAAAAATGAGAGCAAAAATGTGGTCTCTTGGAATTCAATTATCGGGGGTTATTCAGGAGAAGGAGATGTTAGAGGAACATTTCATCTTATGAGAAGGATGCAAAGTGCCAGTGAATATGTGAAGGCAAATGAGGTCACTCTATTGAATGTTTTGCCTGTGTGCTTAACAGAATCAGAGCAGTTGATAGTGAAAGAACTGCATGGCTACTCGCTTAGAAATGGTCTTGAATACCATGAGTTATTAACAAATGCTTTTATAGCCGCCTATGCAAAGTGTGGATTGCCCAGATATGCTGAGCTTGTATTCTGTGGAGTGGCAAATAAGACAGTAAGCTCTTGGAATGCACTGATAAGTGGCTATGCTCAGAGCGAGGATCCATCCAAGGCTTTGACTCTGTCCTCTGAAATTATGGGTTCTGGTTTGCTTCCTGACTGGTTCACTATTGGTAGCCTTCTTTTTGCTTGTTCCCGTTTAAAACAGCTACTGTGTGGTACACAAATTCATGGTTTTGTGCTTAGAAATGGTCTAGAAACAGATATGTCTACAGGGGTTTCCCTAGTTTCATTTTACATGGATTGTGGAAAACCTGAACTGGCACAACTTCTATTTGACAGGATAGAAGATAAAAATATTGTATCCTGGAATGTGATGATAGCTGGTTACTTGCAGAATGCACTACCAGACAAAGCCTTATTTTTGTTTCGTGACATGGTATCTCTTAGATTCCAACCTGAAGAAATTTCTGTTACAAGTGTATTGGGGGCTTGTTCAGCATTGTCTGCTGTCAGGCTGGGGAAAGAAGTTCATTGCTTTGCACTAAAAACTCACCTTATAGAGGATACTTTTGTCCGTTGCTCAATCATAGACATGTATGCAAAAACTGGATTTATAGGAATGCCCAAGTTTTTGACCATATTCTGCTCAAAGATATAGTATCATGGACGGCTATGATTACAGGATATGCAGTTCATGGACTTGGAATGGAGGACATCAAGCTATTTCAGGAAATGCAAAAATATGGCTTCACGCCGACGAGCTTGACATACGTCTCTATTTTAATGGCATGTAACCATGCCGGGCTCATTGAAGAAGGTCGACAATATGTTAGAGAGATGCAGGTCCATGGTCTAAAACCTGAATTGGAACATTATGCATGTGTAATTGACATGCTGGGTTGTGCTGGACAGTTTGATGATGCCTTAAATCTTATGGCTGAGATGCCTATGCAGCCAGATACTCAAATTTGGAGCTCATTGCTCAGTTCATGTATGGTGCATGTCCAATTAAGTCTTGGGAAGAAATGTGCTGAAAAGTTGCTGGAATTAGAGCCAAAAAGAGCAGAAATATATGTTTTGGTATCCAACTTTTTTGCTAGATATGGGTACTAGGATTCTGTTAGACAATTGAGGCAAAAGATGGAGGAGTTAAGCTTGCAAAAAGAAATTGGTTGCAGTCGGATTAAAATAGGAGGAAAAAGCTATAACTTCGCTGTTGGCGATATGCTTTCCAAGCCATAAGAGCTATAGTGAGGACAGATGTGATCAAAGGGAACAAGTTGAGTTGGTTAGTACCTGAAGATTTGGTGCTTCAGCAATTGAAGAGAGAGGGTTAAGAATAAATTGAGGTAGCTCAGCAAGAAACTCTTTAGGATTCTATTTCCTGGTACCATGACCAAAAGGAACTCCTGCCTCCATCATCTAGCACACGAGAAGGAAGGACAAGTTAGATGAACGCTATTGCATGACGGAATGACCTCTCCCTCTTATGGAAGCCGTTATCTCGCATATTTCCCTAGAGGAATAGTAGCGTTATTTCTCTATGGGCACATGGCATGGGATTATAAAACATGGTTGTCACTTGACGCGGGTTCGTCTTGTTGATGATTCAAGGTTTTCCTCAAGGATAGCAGCTCATAAAATTACTCCAATGTGCTTTAAGTTAGTGCCAACTGCCAACAATGATTGTAAGGGAGATGGTCACAATGATTGGAGAAGAGGCACTCTCACTATTTTAAAGATGGTTTCTCCTGATAGATGATACAAGGATGGAGTCACTTTGACCTGCTTTTGTGCCTCCCTAATTGTTTCAGATGTACATATAAGGCAGAATCATAATCCTTATTCTGTAGTTTGGCTTCTGTTTTAATAGCAAATGGTGTTTTCTATAAAGAACGACTTTAAGTTCAGAAGATATTTTGAAACTTAAGTTCAGCTTGAAATTTCAGTTCTTAAAAATTATGAGCGACATGAGGCTGGAATTCCAAGGGTCAGTTCTGTGGTAGTCAAAAATAATTTGCCCCTGACCTCGTACATTGTTGTTGTAGAGAGAGGAATCAGTCCTTGATATCGCAAGCTGGAATCCCCTTGGTGCTTCTCAGCATTGTATGTTGTTATATGTAAAGCTTCGTTTTGTTGAGCGTAAAGAGAAGTTCTAAGAGTGGAATTAAATATGGAGGGATAAGGGTTGTTTTTAGTTAGGGAATACAAAAGGATGTAAGATGTATAGTAAAGGAGTTGGATACTTCTTCATGCCGTCTTTCAATAGAACTAGTCGTAGAGAATGAATTATATTACTTTTTACTCTTCTTCCAACCATACCAAATAACTAGAAGTGAAAACCGTTAGTATTTCAGCTAAGTGAAATGAGAATTATGTTCTATATCCTATACCGTCCCTTCCCTTTACAAGAATTTGTAGTCCAAATATCCAACAGTATTCTCCGTCCATTTGACATCAATGGGAGGAGTGAAGGTATAACTTGTCAACTAGTTCCATGAGTGAAAATGCGCAAACCAAACCACATGTTCAAATTTCGCAAATAAATTGCACATTAATCTCATTTCTATTTGATTCAATCTCCAATCCACCGACTACAAGTACAAGACTAACCTCATACACAAAATTAGTCTAACGGTCATATGACTACAGAATAATTAGTAGTACTACTATAACAGTAGTTTGGTTGTCGTTTATCAATTTATATTGACTGGTAACTACTTGACTATTTGAAGTTAAACATAATTAATGTGTATTAGCTAAGTTAATATGTTATTAATGAGGTTGAGTTAAACTTCATGTAGAAACAGACAAGCAAGACCCCATGCTATGCAACATTTCTTTTGTGCCATTGAATCTCCGGAGCAACAATTCTCCGTCACTTACGCTAGCCAAAGCGTACTTGTTGATCAGAATACATGTAACAAAGTTTTTGACAGTGGTTTCGATCCTTGGGGTAACTTATTATGGAGTGAAAACATTTTTTCCTAAGTTTCAATATATAATTTTTTCTGACTATGTAAATTCTATTTCTATAAGACTAAGAAAGGATCTTCCAATGCATATAAAAAGTGATTACTATTTGATTCGTTTATCCACAACTGCATCATTTGTTAATTGTTTGGGAATAGATGAGACATGCTTCCACATTAATAGGGATCAATTGTGGCGTCTTGAGCCGCGAAAGCTTAACACGTTTACCGGATTTAATGGATATTTCCTCCAATATATATATATATATATATATATTGATAGTGTATATGATATTTATACTATCAATTTATTTTAATATGTTATAATAGGTAATTGTCGCAATTTCTTTCATATTACAAAAATACTAATTTTATAGATAGATGATTAAATATATGAGAATAATTATTATGCTCACTTAGAATTTAAATAAAAATAAAATTCTGCGTTATTAAAACAAAATATCCGCAATTATTTTTTCCTTGAATATCCCCAATTATATTAAGTTATGTTTTAAATGAGCTAACAGTTGATTTCAAGTTAAACCCAGTTAGTATTACTACTTACTAGTTCCGCCCCCTGAATCATTACTTCCCTTTACCTTTCACCTGTTTCTCTCTACTTTCAGTAGCGGCTCGTTCTCTCCGCTAATACATGCGGATTATCCCCTCTGTTCTACTTTATATCAAATTCTCTCTCTTTCGCTCTGCATGCTTTCCTCTTCAATTTATTTCACTTGTTTTCCCCTATATACTACTTGTTATTAGCTTTACAAGTCTGAATCCAACAACTCAAAGCTCTATTTAATGCTTACAGTGCCTGATCCTTACCTCCCATTACCCTTCTTTTCATGTTCAAATTCAATTAGGCCGTATATATCATCAACTCCGAAGTGGTAGGTTCGTTAATCAACGTTTCTTGTAACTGACGCCGAATGCCAGTAAATATCAATTAACCACTGCGGGATTCAACCATAGCTACGGTTTGAAAATTGGCCCAGTCAAGATTTGCAAGAAGATACTGTCATTGGATAAATGGCAACTTCAGCTTCAAATTCAGTTACAAACTCCCCTATATCCTCCGCTGCTCACTCTCCTCCCCCTCCACAACATCAGGTCCCTCTCCCTTACCTTACTGCCTCCTTCATTTTCTTACGGCTTAACCTAAGTTGCTCTCTTTTTTTCTTGCTCAATTTTTGTTCCTTTTTCTGTAGGAGGTTTCAAGCCCCACTGTTCCTGAAGAGTCAAAGGAGAAAGTGGTCAAAGATCCTCTTGAGTAAGTGTATAACTAGGCTTTTATTGTATAACTGCTATTTTCTTGTGATATTTTAGCTGAAAGTGTAGGGGTCAGCCTTTGCTTTTATTTTTGGTCTGCAGCTCTTTGTGTAATCATGGTCTTATGTGCAATTTTAGTTTGAAAGCATTTAAAGAGATTTCTTGCTATTCATTTGTTCATAAGAACATCTTTGTGGAGATACACTCTTTAGGAATTACTTTTACCTATGGGAAAGTAGAATTTACTCATGGCTGATAGTTCTTTTTCCCAATAACTATCTGTTTTCTTTCGTGAGTCTACTAATCAGTGTTGCCCTTTTATCTACCACAACATTATGGAAAATACTGAGATGGACGTTGCTGGAAAGCTTAGCGAGAAAGAAGCCTTTTCTGTTAATTCCTCCTTTCCTCCACGAAGTCCAAGTTCAAATAGATTAATCCTAATGAAATAAAACAAGAGAATTATTTACGTGATAGTTGGGATTCAGCTAGTAGATGTTCATTGTGAATCCTTTGGAGCCCATCTGAAGTTATACTGACTTTCTGGTGAATATAGCCTATAATTATATCTGGTATCATGTGCCACAATCGGATTTGAAAGCATAAGACGCGTAAACGATTTTTTTGTAAAGTAATTGAAAAGCAAAGTCCATTAGCTACTCTGGTCTCTGTTATCTCCTCTAAAGTTAATATCCCCCTATATGTGCAAATTGAATTTGGAGTTTGAAACTAAGATGTTAGGTGAATCCTCAGAATACATGCTCTGTATTTAATGACAGAAATTTAGGACTTAAGCACTTTGACTGAAATAGCAAAAGCTGCTTGTCATGGTATCTGTTAAGTGCATGCTTATCAGAAATTCTCACGTATTATCCATTTAAATTGGTAAGCACAAAGATGCTCTCTCTGTTACGAACCAAATAATGAATGAACTGTTCTATTATTTCCACTAGTCTACATCTGTAGGGCCTGGAGATGACTTTTTGTGTCACTCCATATATAATGCATAGGTTGGTACAATTTTGTCCCAACTTGCTTGGGATTAAGGCATCGTTGTCGGTTGTGGTGGAATAATTTTTGTCCAAATTTTCCATTGAAACCTACTTAGAAGGATCAAAACCACGAGGAAAAGGGAAACATTAAGGGCCAAAATCGAGGGCTAAAAAGGGTAACACATGAGGATTTATGGGATCCACCAGTTACCAATCTACCATATTTATTTACCCAATTTATCTTGTTAAGTTGCATTACGTAACTAGGAGCATTCAAAGTTCTAATTGTGTCAAAGTAGCAAAGCTTTGTAGTAAGAGTATAATCTTGTTCCATTGCAAAAGTTAATGAAACGGTAGAGAACAAGAAACAGACAAGGAGGAACCAAGACGAGTAGAACATTTTGAGCTCAAGAAGTTTCTTTGGATTGACATATTATCGAAGTAGTAATTTCATCACAGGCAGAAGTTTCACTTTATTTTGACCTCTCTTCTAATTAAAAACATAACCTAAACTTTAGGTGAGTAATAACTGAAACCAACACATGGTTTAGAGTCTTTAGACTACTAACTGCCCAGATTGTTACACCGACTGCTTATGATTATAATTTGATACAAACTATTTTTATCTCCTAGGTCATAGTCTTTTACTCTGTATGTCGGGAAAAGATCGTCTTACTTTCATTCTTTTCTATTATGAAAGATAATAAACTTTCCTTTTATTGAATACTTAATCCACTATTCATTATCTCTATAATACCGTACTACTTCAAAGGTCAAAAAATCTCAAAACCATAATAAAGTTACAGCTACCTTATTTGAACCCCACTTTTCCCACTACAATAATTTCAACTGTACCCTTCATGTCTATGCCTAATCAACTAAAAATATTTTATTTTGGAGTGGAGTATAGGAAAACAATTAAAACGTGATAGGTGCCGACTATTGCACAACATGTGTAAGTTTTCATGTTAAGCCATCGCTAGTTGGATTTTGTCCGTCCTATTCATTAAAAAGTCTTAATTTTCTCAGGTTGCTGCTATTTTTGCAATAAAGTGTGGTTTTCATCTTTTACAGTTAATATCTTGAAAACAGCTGTCTTGGTGATAACTAAGCTCAACAGTCAACACTAGTAGTTTGTACACTCTTGCAAGATGACCATTAGTCTGAGCATCTTAAACACTCTATCCCTGGTGTCCTAAAATTTCTACTTGTTGGACTGGGCTCTTGGTGGGCCTAGTGGAGAAGTATCTTTGCTGGGCCATATACTGGAAACTATTGTTGAGCCCAATCATAATTCACTTATAGATTCCTCTTAGTTGTTCCACATGTTCAAATATTAAATGTCTTTGCATATTTGTTGCTTTGGTTTAGTATTATCACAATCTACTAAATTAATCGTACTTTTCCAATTATTCACTAGCATGTACATAATCATTTAAGACTGGGAGAATGGGTTTCCGTACTATGTTCATATTGCCGAACTCTTGGACACCTCAGTGAGTGCAGCATTTGCAATTCTCTGAATCTATTTTTAAGAAAAAAAGACTTTCTGTACTTCAAGAACGACCTATCATCTTTGTTGAATGTGTTATGAAGTTTTGGTAGTCTGATTGATTGGAGAGGTTGCTCTTTTCCATTTAGTTTTCCTATGTTTGTTTGCTGGTTTATTCTGTGATTATGGATTAGCTCTTGCAGACTAGTCATTCTCGTATAGATTTACATGTGTTATCTGCAATCTGCCTGTGCACAAGGCTGCATGTTTTGTGCGGGTATTAGTGAATGTTTCCTTGCAATTCCAATTTTGATTTTTGTGCGGCTATAATAAAGTTTCTGTACTTTTTTATAGAAGTATCTTTTATCAAGCTTAACATTCAACCAGCAAGCAATTGATACTTTCTTCGGGTGGGTTGGAGTGGCAATCTACCTAAAATTTTCTGACAAAACATGCAAAATCTTTGACAGAGTGAAGGACTCTGATTATTTGCCCCAAAAATATAAATCATGTCTCTTGTTATATAATCCCCTACTTGCAATTTAATTGTGTGTGAGTAATAGAACAGTACTGAAGAAAATAAAAGGAAAGAGAGTCAAGGTCTGCGGACGTCATAGCAGCTACCTCGAAGTCTCCCAGCAAGTACTAGCGCACGAAGAGACATAATTTAATAGTGCACATTTGATCAACTAATGAGCTTTTAAATTTGCTGCGGCTGAGCATGAAAAATCGTAATATTGAAAGAAAAGGTTTGTTTTGGTTTGCTTATATCAAGTGTTGTTAGTTCTCCGTGATGGTTAATCTTAATTATGTAGTACTGATCCTGCTACAGCTTTAATTCCAAGTTCTGCGCAAGTCTTCTATCTATATAAATGTAATCTGAACTTGATGGAGGTCCTGATACCTAACTGTTTCCATGATATCATGTAGTGATATGGAGAGCCGACAGATTGAGAAGTTCAAGAGGTATGAGGTTGAGTCCAGCAGATATTTAATGTCCAAGTACTTCTCGGACAAGACAATTTTTGGAGGTAAATATTCTCACAGAACACTTTGGTAAGGTTATTTCACTAAGTATTTAACCACAATGATTCTTTTCTTGTTGAAGGTGGAGGTTTACTATTATTTTGTATGTCGGAGAACTGCATTTACTTGAGGGATACTCCTATGACCATTCACATGTTTTAGGAATTTTTCTGTTTATTGGTTTACCGATCTTCCCTTGCCTAATTTAAGTGTCTTTTTTCCGTAATTAAGTAATTATATTTACCATAGAAAAGATATACAGTCATTACAAAAAACCCAAACTAAGAAAAACCAACTAACTGGAATTGGACAGAAGGCCCCAACACCAGTTAACACCATAGCAACCTGACTACACCTAGCTTAAGGATAAAAAGTTCAACTGTGCTAATCTTCTTGCTAGCTTTGCCTTCATCTGACCCCCTGTAATACACTTTTTGTATCACCTGCTTTACTAATTTTTGCACATGACACAAATCTGTTCACCCACGAAACACCATTTATGTATCCTATCCTTTGTAGGAAGCTTGCCATTTGCTGCTATATTCAGATTGAATAACCACCTAGGAGAGCCAAGGTTATTACAAAACAGTTCCCTCCAGGGGATTTTTTGAAATACACCTCTTAGCTTCTGATACATAATCTTGATAGAGAAGGATTCTAAGTGTTTTTTTTTTAACTCATTACGTTCTCATTTTAGTTGCAGCGCTTAAATTTAAATGCATTTGGCCTTGAGAAGCAATTGTTCTAAAATAATTCGAAACAAGATTTAAGGGGTTTGAGACAATGTTAGACATCTTCCTTTCTGTTTCTTCTTTTCATAAGATGTAAAGCAAAATTGTTGGAAGACTAGTGGTTTACCAGTACTTCTTCAACTATTTTAGTTCTGCCATTTCACTTTGCATCTATTTTAGCATAGCAGAGCTACCAGTTACCAGGACACAGACTAGCCACTGGTGAACCAAATGACTCGACCTCCCTTAATTATTAGAGTTGAATCCGTTCCCTTTTTTTTTTTTTTAATTTAACTTCTTCTGACCTATGGCCTCTGTAAATGAATGATATTGAGCACTCAGAACTGGCATGTCTGGATGACCTCTCGTTGAAGGTACGAGTTGTGAATATGTTACCTCTTTTGAGTTATAAGAGAATATAGTAAACTTCATATTTTGGTCAATAGCACTCAATGTTTTCATAATGTGTTTTAGTTTTAGGTTGGCATTGGTTGGTTAAGAATCGTTTCTCTGGAAAGCATTGACTTTATGCTTTCCTGAAGTAGCAAGGTGATTAGTTCGTTGTCATGATAACTTCACTGGCAATTGTTTGCAGGAAACATCTTTGACGTAAAAATGACTATAAACGGAGAGCAAGTAAAAGTAAGCAGGTATGTATAACAGCTATATACAGCTTGTTGATTGAATTGTATGTTTTGTTGCCTCAACATCTTCTTCTTTTGCCAGATTTCCTGGGTACCAATCATATGCAGATCCTGCTAATTTTAATGATGATAGCAGTAGCGACACAATTTCTACAGTGGAAACTACACCACTGAGTGCTAATGGGCAGCAACCTTCCAATAAAGGCTACTAATCTTAGAATTTCTTTCCTTTACCATCCTCTTAATCAGTAGAAATCTCCTGCACTTATAATAAATCTGAAATTTTTTGTAGATCATCTAGCAATGCGGAGAAACTTATATAACTTTTAGCAATATCTGAGGACAAAAATATTAACTTGCTTGGAATTGAGGCGTAGTTATAATTGTTATTGTTGTTGTATTCTGAGGACAACGATAAGAATTTGGACCGCTGGTTGGTTGCTTGTCCCTAACTGTGGTGCCTAGTTGCTCCGGCTTGAATAGTATGATGTACCACTGACAAATTGTTGTCCTTTTAAAACCCTTGATACTATAAGAACATAGAGAATATTGTCACTCTACCTCAATTACGTTAATCGCCTTACCAGGATTAGAAAAGGATATCACACGAGGATTTGTTGAATCACCGGTTAAAATCCACCATATGTATTTACCCAATTTATTTTGTGAAGTTGCATTAATTAAGCACATTTGGAGTCTTCGAGCTTCCAGTTACATCAAATTAGCTAAGCTTAGTAGTCAGAGTATAATATTAATCAAATTGCTCTCTTTATTTTTACACGCCAAAAATTTACTTTTACACGTAAGAGATTTATCTTTTATACACAAGAGATCTAAAAAGGTTATTTTTTTAATTTTAAAATTGTAAACAGACGTTCTGTACAAATAGCACAACCAAGAGGACTCAAACATTTTGAGCACAAGTTTTTCTTGATTTGATTCTAACAACAACAACAACGAAGCTGTTTTCAAATGACCCTCGGCATCCTTCCCTCCAAGAACTCCCCACCTTGATCTTGGGGTGACTCGAACTCACAACCTCTTGATTGAAAGTGGAGGGTGCTTACCATCAGAGCAACCCACCTTGTCGACAACTCTTGGTTTGACACTAACAGAGCAAGTAATTTCATTATGGGCAAAAGTTTCACTTTATTTTGACTTCTCTTCTGCAATGAAAATTTACATCCAATTGCCCCTCAAAGCTTATAAAAATACGTAGAATTGAGAAATTTGCTCCTGCAAAATTTGGGGAACTTTTACCATAACACAATCTTATTATACGTCAAGTATATATATGGGATTTTCTTTTCAAATTAAATTCACCTTCAAATACAACTTTTAACTTTTAATAGTAGTAGTAACCTCAAGAACAACTTATGTGAATGCTTCGTGAATCTCATGATCTGATTTATTACTTGGGAAGAAAATGGAATCATCTTGCCTCGCACCTCCACTTCATACACTGCATCTAAACTGGCATCGGGTTGCCAGTTAGCATAAAACTCCTTAACCATGTTCACATTCACCGACTCACCGGGACGGAACAAGCTTTCAAAACCCATGTATTTGAAGTTGTTGTAAATCCCCGAGTATTTCCTGACTGGCTTACCATCATCAATGCCAACTTCCTCTCACCGCCGAAACAAAGGTCCGGTACCACATCCTAGCATGAGTTGGCACAACCCGAATGCCATACTTGCAGCCTAGTACTACATCCGCATCACGATCAATGCTCTCTTCTTCCTCCTCCACTGGGGCGGAGGGAGGTGCCCGCCTACCTCCTCGACGGCTACTAGAGGCAACCTCTGAGGTACCTTTGTTAGGACGACGAGATATTGTACCTGCACAAAACGAACAACATTAACCACAACACTGAAAATAAAAAACAAGACCAAACGGGGTAACCACACCACACTTATGTTATTGGCATGTTTACAAGTACAATGTCTATCGGGGACTCAGACTACCCCATTGAAAGTACACCACGAGTAATCCACGACCCATCCGACCACCAACATAACCTTACAACAACATAACCACGGACTATACTAGTGTAAAAGACAAAATTAAGAAGCTAAACTAGTAATTAAGAAAAGAAGCATAAGAAGTTAGTCTAATCCACTACTAACAAAATTTACGATACAATACAACACTACACACGTGCTTAGCATGAATCAGGCACCCCATTTAACACCTAGTAACACATTAATATGGGGTGGTCAATTAATTAGCACTCGGAGTTAACAAATTAAAGTTTCACAACATACGAACATGACCTCTCACCCCACACTTATCATCTAGCATCACATCCCACAAAGCACTTCCCTTCAACATTAGCAACACTACACAATTTTATATCACTAAGACATTTCAACAAACACATTGTGGGCATACCTTTCACGTTCTTATTTAAATTCAAAGTGGGTTAGAATCATCGTACAACCACATCAAAAACATCACTCACCACAACCACAACATCACCACATCTTCCTAATAGCACAAAATGCATAATTTTACAAAAAACTTTACCAATTTTCGGCCACTTGGGCACCCCCACCAAGCTTCAACATAAATTAACTCCAACACCATAAAAACACACCAAAAATCACCTATAATCATAAGAACAATGAAAACCCCACAAGTTTATGCAAGAATTTCGGCCAAAATAGAAGAAAATTTAGCTAAAAGATTAGCACAAAATAAAATACCTAGGGTTAGAGAACTTAAACTAAAGTTAACTAAAATCTACAATTAAATACTAAAAGAAGGAGAGGAAGAACTTACTTTGATGAGTGATGGAGGTGGGAGAATTGGAGGTGAAGAACTTTGAACAAAAAGAAGAAGAATGGGGGATTTAGGGGTGAGTTAGAGATATGATGGAAAGTGAAAAAAAAAAAAAGTGTGTGNNNNGGGGGGGGGAGTAATATTCTGTCCCGTTTTTTTCAAAATCAGATTTTAATTTTTTTTTTTTTTAAAAATCTTAAAGGCCAAAAAATTTACACTATCGCGTCACTGCGCGTGGCACCTCATGCGGCGCGGTAGGCCAATTTACAGGTCGCACCCCGACTCTATTTTGTACTTATTTTGTGTTCGATTCATGCTCATACCAAAAACAATTACCAAAACTCCTTAACTCTAATAATCCTAAATTACTATTATCTATCTAGTCTACAAAAGCAATAAAGAGGGTTAGAAGTAGTTCTGAGTTATAGTCGTGAGCTTGATTCCGTCACTTAGGCTCATTTGATCACGATGCTGGAGGATTGCTTGTCAAATCCTCCAACAAGGTATTGTTTTAACCTGTGCCCATTCACCTTAAAACTTTCATTCCCTTCTTCATCCTGTATTTCAATGGCGCCATACGGTGAGACGTGTTTCACCACATACGAACCTGTCCATCTTGATTTGAATTTTTCGGGGAACAATCTAAGTCTACTATTGTATAGTAAGACTGTGTCCCCTTCATGAAACTCCTTTCGCTTAATCAGAAGATCATGCCATCTCTTTGTCTTTTCCTTAAAGATTCACGTATTTTCATACGCATCCTGTCTAAACTCCTCCAATTCGTTCATCTGCGCCAACCTGTGTTTACCTGCAAGACTAAGATCAAGATTAAGCATGTTAATTGCCCAATAAGCTTTATGTTTTATCTCAACAGGTAGATGACGTGATTTTCCATACACTAATTTGAATGGTGAAGTCCCTATGATTGTTTTTAACGCAGTTCTTTATGCCCATAGAGCTTCATCCAACTTTGCAAACCAATCCTTACGAGAAGCACTAACCGTCTTTTCAAGAATTCGGTTAAGTTCACGGTTAGCCATTTCAACTTGCCCACTAGTTTGGGCATGGTATGGGGTTCAAGTTTTATGTGTGACCTTATACTTAGATAACAATGCATCGAACTGTTTGTTCACAAAGTGCGACCCATTGTTACTGATAATCACTCGATGTGTCCCAAAGCGGGTAAAGATATTCTTCCGATAGGAACTCACACACCACCCGAGAATCATTGGTCCTAGTAGGTATTGCTTCGACCCATTTAGAGGCGTAGTCAATGGCTACTAGGATACACTCATATGAATAAGACGATGGGAACAAACCCATGAAGTCAATGCCCCAAACGTCAAAAATTTCACATACTAAAATGGAGTTTAGTATCATCTCATCCCTCTTGCTAATGTTACCTACCCTTTGACACTTGTCACATGCAGCTACATACGCCCGTGTGTCTTTGTACAAAGTAGTCCAATAGAAATCAGCTTCCATGACCTTTGTTGCAGTGTGATTTTCACCATAGTATCCTCCAGCTGCTCCATCATGGCAATGAGAAAGAATGCTTGCCATCTCTTCTTCAGGAACACACCTTCGAATCACACCATATGCACACAGTTTAAACAAGAAAGGGTTATTCCAAAAATAATTTTTTACCTCACCTTGAAGCTTCCTTCTTTGATCACGAAAGAGGTCACGCGGAAACCATCCGCTAGCCAAAAAGTTGGCTAAATCAGCATACCAAGGTGGCCTTTCAGAGACTGCATCAATGGAAAAAATCTGCTCATCAGGGAACTCCTCCCTTACATCAACTGTTTCAACCAGAGGTCTCTCAAGTCGAGATAGATTATCGGCGACTTGATTTTCTATGCCCTTCCTATCTTTGATGTCCAAGTCAAACTCTTGGAGAAACAATACCCACCGCATCAGACGCGGCTTGGACTCATTCTTACTTAACAGATATTTCAAGGCTTAGTGATCCGTGTGTACAATAACTTTGCTCCCCATCAGGTATGATCTAAACTTGTCAAAAGCAAAGACCACAGCAAAGAACTCTTTCTTAGTAGTGGCATAGTTGACTTGAGCATCATTCAACGTCCTGCTGTATAGTAAATGGGCCTAAACATTTTATCTTTTCTTTACCCCAGAACTTCCCCCACAGCTACATCACTGGCATCACACATTATCTCAAATGGTTGGCTCCAATCAGGTGTCACAATAATAGGAGTACTTACAAGCTTTTCCTTTATCAATTTGAATGCTCGTAAGCACTCCACATTGAAAACAAACTTGACATCTTTCGCTAGCAATGCAGTCAACGGTTTGGTAATGCTGGAGAAGTTTTTGATGAACCTCCTATAGAACCCGACATGTATCAAGAAACTCCTTATGCTCGTGACAGAAGTTGGTGGAGGGAGCCTAGCAATTACATCCACCTTGGTTCTATCAACTTCAATTCCATGTGCAGTTACTTTGTGGCCCCAAACAATTCCCTCTTTCACCATGAAGTGACACTTCTCCCAATTAAGAACCAGGTGCGTGGCTTCACAATGTTTAAGCACAAGCTCCAAATTCTTCAAGCAGTCCTCAAAGTCATCACCAAAGAGGGTGAAATCATCCATGAATACTTCTAGATACTTCCCATTTAAATCAAAAAATATAGACATCATGTACCTTT